GAGTGACCCATACATAAACCTAACCTAAATCCATAGTTCGATCCTCTGCAAATGTGTCCGAAAATGTGCCGGTATCTTAAAATGTGCCGGTATCTACTTCCGGGTTTTTCGGGATCGCCTTTTCTCGCATTACATCAGTGTTTTTGTCATGAAAACGTAAACGGAAAATTCTGAAAACTTCCGTGCACTTGTATTAAGACTGGATATGTATAAATTACTCTCCGATTAACATTTCATTGCGTTGATTGATTGGCATTTGCGTTTATTGAGCGGCCAGAACTACTTCCGGGTTTTTCACGATCGCTTTTTGACGCAGAGAAATAGTATTTTTGTCATGAAGACAAGACCAGAAAATTCAGAAAATTTCCGTGCACGTGTGTGAAGAATGTATATGTATAAGTATTCTCCGATTAACATTTAAGTGTGTTGATTGAGCGTGGCTAGCTCCGGAGTGGCCGGAACTACTTGCGGAGTTATCCACGCATTTGAAAGACAAGCAGAGAGTGCGTTGCCATGGGCAGCGGTCATTATTGTTTTGAGAGGTCCGTAATAGAAAATAATGACCGGTAGAACGTTTTGAAATTACATTCAAATCAATGGAGCGTTCTACTGCTGCTGTGAGGAGCTGTATAATAAATTAGCTATATTAGCTATATTAGCCTAATATCTAAATGACAAAGTAAAGGCTAAACACATAAAAACCATTCATGATTATCAAATGTGTATTTTCATTGCAGCGTGTCCTGGAGAGAATGACGCACCACGTGACAACTCTGCTTTAAGTTTAACTTACATTTTTTTGCCTTCATGCAATTGTACAAATACAGTAAATAAATCTGCTTTTTGGCTCCGAGTTCACCTGCATCACTGTCTGTTCATATCAATCACGTCACAGGCTGAAGTTTGCTGGAGCTGAATGTCCTTAATGGCCTTTTCTTTCACCGTCTTTGCGAAGGTTTTTGAAGTCTGAAAATACGGGCTCTGACTTTATGATGAATGAATCTTTCAGTGAACAGTGTTTAAAGCTTCATTGTTCCTCCTGTTGCAACAAAACTTTTCATTACATTGCAAACATGAAGCAGTCCTTCCTCATTGACTGAAAGCAAATGTTCATTCTCATTCTTAGTCCAGTCTTATCGACTCTCTCTCTTTATCTTTGGGATCCATGCGCACACACAGTCTATAATGCACACACTCCGGTTTGTTTACAGCAGTGGCTGCATGGCACGGGCCGCGTCACAGGATATGACGCACTACGTTGACAGAAATTCTAAAATTGAACATTACTTATACAAGTTTTTGCAGCATTGAAAAACGTTAAGAATGTTTTTCCTCTTACAGAAACCACATTGAAACTAGAAATAAAATATAGCCCTCGCACTCCATTTTCAGACATTTTTGAAAAGGCTCCAGGAGCCACTTTAGGGGCACTAAAGGTTGCCGACCCCTGGTTTATACAGTATGTGGAAGCAAATACTGTAGAGGATCAGGATGTCTGCAGTTTCAACAATAAAATAAAGTGCAATAGTCTACATTACAAGAGAGTAATAAACATGTCTCAGAGTGAGGGAGGTGGGCACAGACAATACTATTGTTTGTTACAGGGATGAGAATTGATCAAAAATGTCTGAAATGCATATTGTCAGCCATTAGCTGGCTCTAAATCTGTTTAATTTGTTCACAACATTTTACTTTTGGGCTCAAACATGAACTTTTAATGCAATGGAAAATTTAGGTACCCGAGCTTTAATTTAGAGGAGAGGGGAGACGCGGTCTGTTTTCTGCAGCGGTGTATTTATTGGGTGCACAAATTACTCAAAGACATGCATGGTCCTGTTTATGCGTTTATGGTCTTGGGTACATGGCCACGTTGCGGCTACGCGCTCACCGTGTTGTGTTGTGAGTGGTTCCTGCGTCCAGCTCAGAGCCGCTGGATGCGGGAACACTGCGGCCGCTGAGGTGGTGGAATCCCGTTCGAGTACATACAGCAGGTGCCCCGCGGACACACGCGCTCCCCTCAAACATTTCTCAACGGATTTACACTTTTCACAAACATGTTTTTTGTATGAGGCAGACAGACCGGCCCAAATATGGGCATCGGCCCTTCTGGCATTGCCCGGTACGCCCGATGGCCAGTCCAGCCCTGGGCGCAACGCATTATGGGAGATCATCCACTGCGCAGAACCGGGAGGACCAGACGATGCCCAAATACAAGCGAGTTTCCCATAGATCTTTGCGAGTTTCAGGCAACTTCCGCTAATCTTTTCAGCCCCCATGCCGTCACAAAGCGCCACTGAGCACAACCATTCATTTGAATAGGGCGCCATCTTGGATCGCCGGGGCTTGGCATGAATAGGTAGTTTTTTATATTTACTTCCGCTTCCGTCCAGATTCCGTGACGTAATCTACTGCTGCGTATGCTCATTGGATCAAACTGAACTTCCGGATGAATCCGGTTTCCGGGACGAATATGGGAGTGACACTCCGCACCATACAACTGGCACGTGTGGTTTGTTTGTATCCACGGGTGGAAATCTCGCAAAATCTCGCACTTCCGCTTTCCAGCCCCGGGTGGGCCAGTAGACATGGACGTCGGAACTATTTTCTGAGAGGGGGGGGCGTGTTTTTGTTGGGAGAGTCGAGGGAGAGACTCATACTTGGATTACACTGGATAATAACATAGCATCTTAATTGTTAAGAAAACGAAAATGAAACAATAGAAATCAAGCAAGGCACTTATCAAGCTGAACATTGTTTTTTTCAAAGCTGGAAAAACAAGCACAATTTTGCTGCGCACTGTCAGACGCACACACGGTAGGCTGTAAAGGATGTAAAAGAAAGTGTTTGGTCACTATATCAAGTGATTTTTATGCTTTGTATTATTTCAATGTAACTTTGCCTTATTTAATTTATTTATACCTTGAAATCGCAGATTTGACAGCGGCGCTGTGAGGCGAGCCTCTCTTGGGAGACGTAAAAGCTACAACTCACAAGGAGAGGCCTGTGAGGTGCTATCAAACTATTTTATCTGTTTATAGCAGTTTAAAAAATTCAAACATATTTAATTTACAATCAACATGTTTACAGTTAAGAGGATGGCAAAAAAAAAAGTGTTTTTCAAGCAAATATGGTTCATAAGCGCGCTCAACCACAGCTTGTAAGTTAGAAAAGCCTCAAGGGGGCGCTTGTGAGCCCAACATTTGGCTGCATTCAATTTAATCAGAAAGCTCCTTTTTTGTTCTTCCTCTGCTAAGGGCAGCTACAGGTTTGGCTAACATACCTATAATACATTTTAAGATAATTTTAAATGTATTTAGGGTAATGCTTTGCTTCCAATGATGATATGAATGATAAGAAAAAGAGGTGAAGGGTAAGAAGGTTGATTTTAGAAATTGGATTCACCCGGGAGTCGGCTGCAGCGAAACACTATGGAGGAGACACGCGTTTGTTTTACTTATTAAAACTCTTTGGACTTCTTTCCAAATGGAGGATTACATATATGCGCTCAAAATATTATCTGGACTTAAACATGAAACTGGTCTGAACTGAAGTGGTCTGTGCTGTTCATTAATAACTAAGTTAAGGCCAATAACACACTAAGAAATGCGCTTTTTACAAACTTTTGCGTTTTGTATGAAACATATTCTGCTGTAGCCAAACAAATTGTGAATTAGCCGCACAGTAGGTCCTGTTGATTTATTTGCTGTATGAACTCATGATTGATCCCCCACCGCACGTCACTGGTGTAGCCAGGTCTTTAATCTGCGCAAGGCTGAGAAAGAGCGCTCAGAGGCCGCGACAGATATGGGTCAGACAGAGCTTCATACGCCCTGTCCGAGCTTCATAAGCACCTCCGACAGCATGGAGCGGGTTTGGGGCTGCAAGGAGCGCGGATAGACACAACATCTTGAATCATGATAACTTCTCACTCCGGGCACACGCGTTACCCTGGCAACGCCCTAGATACGTTGAATTAAAGACAATTACTTGCTGCACAAGAATGGCTCAAGAAGGATGAAGAGACAGGATGGAGGGAATTGGAACAAAATTCATGCCCAAAAATACCTCTGGAAAGCTTACCTTTAAAAAAAAAAAAAAAATCTCTAAGTAGAAAATGAATGGTTAAAAGGAACTTTGAAAATCTGGGCAGTATTTAAAAATAAATTTAAAATGTCGGATTCAATATTCAGGGCTTCTAAAATAACCAAGAACATTATTATAGAAGAATAATATTATAAATGGGAACTGTTGTGGAAATCTAACTGGGATTATTAATCAATTTCACTTAAGAATGAATCTAATGATGAATTATGTAATCTGGGACAAAGTTCAAAGATAATCAATGTGTTCAAGCTAACTAATCTGTTGTTCTGTAGAAACGGCGAGGCCAATGACAGGATAGAGGCAGATACTTGATATCTGGCCCAATGGGAGCACGGTATACCCTGGTCATATGCCTTTTCTAATTTCAGAGTAGTATCAAGAGTAAGACGTAAGGAGGGAGAGGGTTTAGTTACTACCTAATCTTGGACTAAGAGACGCCAATTGATAGACTTTTTGTTTGTTCCATCCTATAAATATGAGAGGGAGTGAGCAGTATTCAGAATCTACCCGGGACCTCCCACGTGGTTGACACGGTTGTATTTTTTGTATATGTATACATTCACTGAAATAATAACCACACTTTGATTGTAATTACAGCTCTTGGTTGTTTATTTTATATTTAATATTGCGTATTTCAATCCTTAGAAATTCCACAACAGAACAAGGGAGAACTATAATAATCTTTGACAGCTCGACGGCGCTAGTCCCCAATGCGTATGGCGCACACCGCTCTGGACCATGGGCTGGGGCTTCTGGGGGGAGAGAGAGCACACCGGCAGAGCGCAGCACACGAATATACAACCAAAAGCTATTGGACGCGTCTTGGACCACTACTTACGGCGCAAGCGGGGTATGAGCCCCGCCGCTGCGTGTAGATTGCTTCGAGGTGCGTCCCAATGCCTCTGCGTCCTCGCCCTGTACCACAGATTATAGCCAGCGGCTGCCGCTGCAGATCCCAGGCCGTGCACCCATGGGGGAAAGAGCACAGCGGAGCAGAACACAGCAAACGAATATGCCAAAGGCTACGAGGGGTAAACGCAACTTGAACCGCTACTTACGGCGCAAGCGGGGTATGAGCCCCGCCACTGCGTGTAGTTCGCTTCGCGGTTCGTCTCCTTGATGCTTGGACGGGACCCACTCGTGATTCTCCTTCGTGGCCTGTCTCTGCTCGTCCTTGTCTCCATGGCTGCTCTTGGCTCGTCGCTTCCTCTACTCGTGGCGTGCCTCCGTGGCGTCCCCCTGGCCCTGCCCCTGTGGCCCTCTCCTGGCCCTGCGGCTCCAGTGGCTTCCTTTCCTCGTGGCTTCCAGAGTGAGTTTTTAAGCTCCTGCCTGCCCATTCACGCAGGTGCGGTGATTAGGGGGGACGTCCAGTGAGGAGGGTCGGGCCAGCTGTGGGGGCGTTTCCTGGCCGGATGATATTGCGTCCGGTTGGCTGGTGGCAGTCAGGTGGTGAGGGGTAGCCAAAACACAGCAACCACACACACAGCAATACAAAATAAATAAAAACCCACAGTACCGGCTTACACATGTATTTCCTTGATACGGAGTAACGCAGAGACTCGCGCCACTACTGAGCTGCACTGTCCTGCCCAAAAAAGAGGCTTGCGTATTTTCACTCACGTAGTGACACAGTGATGGGCTTGGTGGGCTCCCTTCTTAGGCGGCAGCTTTATGCTGTTACTTTATGCGGTTCATCCCCGCGGCTTCCCTTTCCAAAGTTACTGTCAGTAACAGCATAAAGCGGCCACCCGCTTTTAATGTGCGGACCTCTTTACCTTTGACTCCGAAAAGCCGGGCCTCTTTACCGCGCTGTTCGACTGCTGCCCTCTCTCCCTCTCTTCGCACCATCAGCCTGACCCCTGACACATGTGGCTTTTCTCCCCCTCCGAGTTTTTCTGTTGTGGATAGTAACCACGTTTCATTTTAAAGCAGGTATTATTTGTTTGTAGCCTCCAAACACCTTTCGTTTTAGCAAACAACAGCAGAACACGCTTTGTCGCTGCGTAATTTAACGTAATTTAAATATATTATATTCTCACACAATTTAACAAGTAATCCTTGAGAATCTAATCAAATGCAAAATACATTTTTAAGGGCTATTATTTTGCTAATCAAATTCAATTTTCTTTTTTTTGGAAATCATCTTGCGACCCACCCACGGGTTCCATCCCCAGGGGGGTTGGGACCCCCACTTTGGGAACCACTGGTGTAGAGGACAGTACGGGCCAGAGGACTGTTGTAGAGCAACACAAATCACATGCATGTGTTTTTCTTCATGGTCTCGGTGCGCTGGTTTGGCAAGAACCAAGACTTTGTGAAAGAAAAAAAAACTGTCCAGAATCATTGTAAAACCTGCCAGTCCTGCTGCTAATGTTTAGATTTAAGTGCTGTGTGTGTGTGTAGATGCAATCTAAAACCAAGGGTGACTATAAAAATCATGTTTCAAATGTGTTTTGACTGGGAGACGCGTTGCTGCGCGCACAAAATTAGAAATCCATCCTAAATTAGGCGTAACCTCGCATCAATACGTCCGTCATACGTGCGTCTAACACTAGTAGTGTAAATATCACCATTGGTTAACATGGAAATAATGTACGCCCGTCTGCTGCGCGTATAACGCGTAAGTGCTGTAAATTAGCAGTTACAGAGACTAGAGGACTGGGTTGGCGTCGCTGGCACCGCCCTAAGTTGGTTTAGGTCTTACCTTGAAGACAGGGAGTACTTTGTGGAGATTGGAAACTGTGTCTCAGATCATATGGCCCTGACCTGTGGAGTACCACAGGGGTCGATCCTGGGACCTCTTCTGTTCAATCTCTACATGCTGCCGTTAGGAAACTTCGTTTCTGCGTATTAACTGACCTATCATAACTATGCAGACGACACTCAGATCTATGTCTCACTGACTGCAGGAGAACATGGACCAGTGGACTCACTCCTTCACTGTATCCAACAGATCAGTGAGTGGATGCAAAACAACTTTCTTCAGCTAAATACAGACAAAACCAAAATGATTTTTTTTGGTCTCCAGAAACAAAGAGAGAGCGTCATTTGTCACCTCCAGTCTCTCTCCCTAAAACCTTCAAACAAGGTCAGAAATCTAAGGGTAATACTGGACTCAGACTTAAATTTTAATAGCCACATCAAATCAGTAACATCAGCAGCATTTTACCACCTAAAAAACATTGCCAGGATCAAAAACATAGTTTCTAAAGCAGACTTGGAGATTCTTATCCATGCATTTGTCTCCAGTAGGTTAGACTACTGCAATGGTCTGCTCACAGGTCTGTCCAAACAGGCTGTAAAACAGCTGCAGTACATTCAAAATGCAGCAGCTCGAGTCCTGACTAGAACCAGGAAGTACGACCACATTAGTCCAGTTCTCAGGTCTCTAATAACCAAAATATATTAGTGACATGTCAGTCCCATATGAACCAAGCCGGACTCTGAGGAGCACAGGGACTCGACTCCTGTTAGTGCCCAGAGTCAGAACTAAACATGGGGAGGCTGCTTTTCAGATTCATGCTGCTTAAAATCTGGAACAATCTTCCTGAACCCGGACCAGGGCCTTTCTGAGTGGAGTTTGCATGTTCTCCCCATGTCTGCGTAGGTTTCCTCCGGGTTCTCCGGTTTCCCCTACCACTAAAAATATGTACAATAGGTTTGGCATGCGCCTCCTGTTCGGCGACCCCGCTCCCATCTCTGTGGAGTCAGAGACAAATGCCCAAAAAATAACAATTGTAAACCGCTTTGTGACTCTGGTCTGTGAAAGGCGGTATATAAATAAAGCTTACTTACTTACTTACTACTTACAATGTTTAAGACAAGGTTGAAAACAGTTTTGTTTAGCTGTGCATACAACTGAGGGATTTTATATTTTTATCCTTTTTTATGTTCTGTGATTATTTATGATTTTAATGCTATTTTGTCTTGTTCAGCACTTTGAGTTGCCTTGTGTATGAATTGGGCTATACAAATCAACTTGCCTTGCCTAGTCTCGATCGAATCTTTTGTGCTGCAGGAATGTCAAGAAAGTCCAAAAAAGGGTCCCATGTCCTATAGAACCTGTACGGTTTGTCCTTTAGCAGATTGGTGAAGGCTTCCATAGGAATGATACTGATCACAGTCTGTATCCACTGATGAGAGGAGGGCCTCAGCCGAGAGCCACCGTATCATTATGCATTTTCGGGGACAGTGTAAAAGTGTATGTAACAGATCCCCTTTTGTAAAAGCTGCTGGGAGTTCATCATTAAGACCTAGAATGCATGTTCTTGGTCCCAAATTTAGTTGACACTTATATTGCACAAACTGAAGCCTCCGTTTCTGGTCCACTGTAAGAGCAGAGTCCTTTAAGTGAACATCCGGTAATAACTGCTCAGTAGAGTCACTCTGGGTCATAACTGCATTAAAATCTGTTGCAACTATGCAGTAAACATCATTACAGTCTTGGCCAAAGGGGTAAAAGTCACTGGGCACCTGTAAGTCAGAGGTAGTTGGATTCATGACTCTAACATAAGATAACCCAGCCTGAACCGGAGCAACCGTGCGCACAGAGAATAAGCCTTGGGTGCTCGGAGGTCCTGGTTCAATAACACCTATGTAGTCTGTGTCAAAGTCAGCCATACCAATTGTGGGTTGGATTCTAGCTAAAACTGTCATTTGCGACATTGCAGGTATAAGAAGTGGGGCAACTGTAATGGCATTGCAACTCAGGGGGGTTGTCTCTAATGCCTTGCTTCAAATCTAAAATGGCAAAATGTGGAAAGAGGAAGTCCCAGTCTAATACTACGGCTGTGTGACAATCCTGATCACCTGGACAGTGTGTGTGAACATTTCACTGCCTAACCTCACACCAGTCCAGTTTATTGTTAATGTGAACACCCAGGTACTTGAAGCTGTCCACCAGCTCAATGTCCTCCCCCTGGATGTTCAGCAGCGTGTGGGAAAGTGGTTTTCTCCTGAAGTCGATGATCATCTCCTTGGTCTTACTGGTGTTCAAGCAGAAGTTGTTCCGCTCACACCAGTCGACAAAGTCTGTGATAACTGACCGATATTCCAGTTCGTTCCCCTCAGACACACAGCCCACGATGGCGGAGTCGTCAGAGAACTTCTGCAGGTGACAGCTGTGTGTGTCGTGTGTGAAGTCTGAGGTGTAGATGGTGAAGAGAAACGGTGAGAGGACAGTGCCCTGAGGGGCCCCCGTCTCTTCTGGCCACTCTGGGAAAGCCATGTTCCAGCATCTTCCCTCGGGCAGAAGATATCGGTCGCTGAGATGCAGGACATCTCGCTATGCTAACAGCTTCTTTCCACAAGCTGTTTGGTGCCACAGTGTCAGCTGTTTTTTTAAATTCATTTATTTTCAGTGTATGTGTATTTCATATTACATTGTATCGTGCTCTTTATTCTGTCGGTGCACACAGAGTACCTTTTTTGCGAATGTATTCCAATGTAGTTTTTATACTGCACATGGCTAATAAAATGAATCTGAATCTGAAGTACTGCAGACTACCACCTCAGACTTAGAGCTGTGTACTGTCAGATGTAGGGGCAGCAGAAGGCAGTGATGTTTTTTTATCCTACGTTCATGCCTGCTTGAATGCAACAAATATATTGTAAACATGGTAATTATTGTAAATATTGTAAGTAAAAGATACTTACCTGGTTCATCCAAGATTGTGACTTCTTTTAAATGCATTTTAAAAATTGAAAATAATTCAGATGGTACGCTGACAAAAATCGTCTGAATGACATTTGGTTTAATTGAAACATGTCATGTGAAAGTTACTATAAAGTTAAAGTGCCGGAGTGCAAACATAAGTTATAGTAACATATGTAGAGAAATGTTGATACTGAGATAATGGAAATAACAAAGTGGTCCGAGTTTATTTCCATACTAAAAACGTCCGTGTTTTATCCAAAACATAATGTGTCTTATCCAAACTGTCTTGTGATATGTATGTTACTACTCTCTGCTGTTTATTCTACTGTTTGTCGCATGGCGTCGTGGCAGGAGCTCTCGTGTGTGCCGTCCTCTCTGTCTGGTGCACACTGGGGTAGTCTTGCACAGTTTTTCCAATGTGGTTTTACTGCAATAGGCAAATAAATGAATCTGAGAGTAATAATGTGACGGAGTACCAGTGACTGCTCCGTCAAAGACTCTTTTCTGCTCCCTCTCCCTGCGCTGAAGAGAGGAGCGCGTCTGTCCGCGCACGTGGCGCGTGTGGGTGGCGCAAGCTTGACCGCACGGCCCCGCATCTACAGACTCTCCCCCGCCAACTTTCTGCCTGCACACGCATATCATCATCTCCCCCACACACATAACTCACCTGCTGCTGTTGTCTCGCACTGGCCAAACCGAGGTACTTCCTGGTCGCACC